AGTATTTGTTAATAACAGTATTTGTTTAATTTTGATTTAATTGCTGAACCAGGAAATGGTTACGTCTTCCTATGTAATGCACTGGATGTGCGCAATAATAGGGACTGGAAGGTGCATGAAATCCACATTAAATTACTGTCATTTATAATGCAAAACAAATCTGTATAATCACATAGGTTTTTAGAAAGAGAAAAAAACAATTTGTCTTTTACCTGAGCTGTATCATGCAGGGTTTATGATTTTACCCAGTGATTAGCGCAGTCAGACCAGTAATTTAGTTGTGTAACACATCTGGAGTTCTCTGCATTTCTGTACATACTTTCCTCAAATAACGAACTCCAGTTTTCTACTTACAAAGACTCTTGGTAAAAGTAACTTTAAAGAGAAAAATTAAAAGTAAGTAAAATCATGACTGCAGCAAGACGTACTTCCCGCAAAGCATGATTAAGCTACAGTAGGAAGGGTAAGTTTAGGACACAGTTGCTACTGCATAGCCATGGTCTGAAAGTCTCTTAGGAGCTACACTCTAGAGGTTTTAAATGCCAGTAGGGACTTTAAGTACATTGCAGAGAAAGAATCCTTGTCCATAATGTTGACTTGTGCTGGATTCTAGCCAAACTGTTGAGTTTCTAGATGTCATGTGACTTCAACTCTTTTGATTTAAATGATTGAGTTTATTTCTGTGCCATGGGTGATTAATGTTTTAAACAGAAACAGAGGCATTGTTCCCTGGTTCAGCCTTTTCCTTTCACTGGCATCTCTGTGGAAGGGCAGGATTCCACTTTTGAAATATTGTGGTGCCTTTCTTTGCATAGATGTATGCTGTTGAAAACTGGGTTTTGAAAATAAATATTTTCTGCAAAAGGGAGGGTGTATTAGAGAAGGATGGGAGCTGATACGCTGCTGGATAAGGAGCAGCTAGCTACTAATGTGAATGCAAACCCCAAGAAAGCTGAGGGAGAGCACAGGGCCAGCCTGTCCATCTGGAACCTTTCTTGGCACAGAAAGTGGATTGCTCACTGTGGAAAGGAAAGCTCTACCCACAACCCTGCGGCAGGAGCAGCAGGGTTCTGGTGCTCAAAATTGCTGAGCAGCCTGCTGCTGATTCCTAGGCCAAGTCTTGTCACTTGCTCTTTACAGAAAAATAAATTGACTTGTTTTTATCATTTATTAACATGATGGTTGGTAGGCTACTGAAAAATGGGAATCTCTTGTCTGGGGAAGTTGGATGTGTGGGGTAAGAGAGTCTCTGTTTTGGGCAGCTTTATAAACAGAGAGAATGCAGAGCACATAACAAGGAAGGGGTGACCCACTTTGCAAAGGTACAAAAAAGGAACTGTCTTGTCCCACTTTCATCCTTCTGATTATTTAATTTGAGAGGTGCTTTGTTTGTTATAGTTTGATGTTCCCCTTAACTAAGAGAAACTAAGGTATGATTTCCACATTACTCTGTAAATATGTTCCAGATTGCAAAAGCTAATGGTTTTCTTGGTGTCATATGAGACCAGTTCTCCCTTACTACCTCAAAAAGGACACTCCAACAGCAGCTGTGATGTTTTCCCATATTATTAGAGTTCAATAGTTAAAGCCAAGGTCAGAAGGAGAAGAAAGTACAGCATGTTAGGCATGAGTAGTTTCGAAATAGCAAAGGCTATGAGGGTGCAGATCCAGAGAGGTGTGGATGCATGTTTGTTTTTAAAAAATAAGGCCCTAATAATATAATGCAGATTTTTAAAGCATGTGGATGCAGATTTTAAAGTCACATTTTCAAAGTATCTCTGCACCTACATGGATGAGGACCAATAACAGTGGCTCTTCAGCAGATCAGCAAGGGATCTTTCTACTTCAAGATCAAATGATCTGCATCTTGCACAAACCACATGCTTTAGAAAATTTGTTTATTCCTGTAACCTGCTGCTAACCATGCTGATTCTTCAAAACCTGAATGAGCTTTCCAAATGTACTCCTTTTCCTCATATTAATTCTGAGGATTTTAACTGAACCAGAGATCACACTGAAAAACTCAGTGATCATGGCCTGGCATATCCAGTTCAGCAGCTAAAACATCCCATTTGAGATCCCCTGTAAGACCATTGAGGAAAAGATACTATGTTCATTTATTAGAGTAAGGATAAGGTTTTTCAGAACCCAAGGTCATGTAAAAGCACACAGCCCAGCTTTGAGCACTTGCTGAACAAGGGCTGTTTGGGTGCAGAAAGCAAATGGATAAGCAGTCTCCCTGCAAATTTGGAGTGGAGCAAGGAGTCAGGGACAGGGTTTTAAACTAGAAGTACTGTGGAATGGAGATAACAACCTAAATGTAAATGCAGAAGTAGCAGACAAGGGTGGAAAAAAGTGCTATTGGGTAGCCAGAGCAAGATAGACCTCAAGAATGGTGAAACAAGGTGGAGAAGCTCACCTCTACAGTGAGCAAATCTATTAAATCTGGGGAATACGCAGGACCAATTGAAACTGCACATAGTCATGGAAAAATAATGTTCCTAGAAAACTGAGATGTTGGGGAACATTTCTCACCACCAGAAGCTCTTCAGGAGCAGTTATGTGAAGGATCCACTTGGATGTGAGAGGCCTCTGTCTGGATGGGCAAGAGGTGCTGGACAGTCTGTTGATCAGCTTCAGTGAAGAGGACAACAGGTGTAATTCTGTGGTAGGAGTGCATGACAGACCATCCAAAGATAGTGGAGACTTCTTAAAACAATTCAGGGAAACCTTTGTATTACAAACCCTCATTGTCACCAGGAGTTTGATCTACCCTGATGACTGCTGAAAAGGCAGTACATATATAATGTATAATTAGGGGTGGTGCACAGTGTGCTTCACTAACAATGCTGAACTGTTTGGGAACATGATAATCAGTGACAACCTAGGCTGGAATTATTGTCAAGTTGTGATGCTCAGGACCATAAACAGAGTGAGGACTAAGAACAACAGAGCATAGACCTTGGACTTCAGGTTAACAGACTTTTCATTTTTGGGGGGAACTAGTAGCTGGAATCCCACCAGGGATAATCTGAAAGATAAAGCAGCACAGGAAAACTGCAATGGCTTCCAAATGCAAGAAATAGGTAAGCATACTAGTAGATGAGTGTGGCTAAACTGTGAACTCATTTTAGGGCTTCAGTGAAGAAGAGAGAGGGTTGTGGGAAGCAGAGACAGGCTACAAAATGAAAATTTGGGAGCACTGTCTGGTCCTTATTGTTGGTATCAGAAATGTTATAACTCATTAATTGAGACTGGTGAGGGAATCAAGGGCAACTGGAAGAGTTTCTATCACTACGCAAACACTACACAAACAGCTGAACAAGGCAAACATGGACTTGCTGCTGGAAAGAGGGGATGATTTAGTGACAGTGAGCAGTGATAAGGTCAAGGCAGTATGTACTTCGCCTCAGTTTGCACTATCAAGGTCTCTGACATCTCTGTGTTTAAAGATGGTTCAAGGATGATGAACATGACCAGAAATAGGTAAGGAAGGACTCACAGATTGATTGTGAGATCTGAACTGCCCAAATCCATGGGATCATCAAGAATCCTAAAGGTATCATTGCAAGACCAAGGAGATGGACAGATGATGCATCCACCTCTAAAAAGTTTAAAAGGATAATCCACAGAACAACAGCTTTGTCATTCTGACTGTGTACCTGGATAAATCGGGCAGGAAGTCCTCAGGGACCACTTCTGGACAGCTGAAGAAGAGGGCTGGTACTGGGAACAGCCATCCAACATTTAATAAGAATAAATCATGTCTGACCAACATGATTGTCTTCAATAACAAAATATTTCCAATGAATGAAATAGAATGTAATTTCCAGAATGAGAGAGTAGTGGATATCACTAAAAGCAACTTTAGGAATTCTCTGATAAGCAGAAATTGTCTGTTACTGCAGCATCAAAGTCTGTAAAAATACATAATTATTCATAGCTTTTCTTGGTACAAATCCTACCTTTTATAATAGAAGACTGTATTAGTAGAAACTGTTCAGGTTAAAGCTAATGGACTGGCCATAGGCAAATGTACCCCCTAACAAATTCTAAATGGGATTTGATATGTATTATACAGAGCAGTTATGTCAACAGTGATTCAAGATGTCTTGTGTCTCCTCCTTACACAAGTTTCTCTCAGAATTGTGTCTGTCTCCAGTGTTCTAGGTATATGCTCAGAAAGAGGTTTTATTGCTTTTTGGAAGCTCCTGTATGACTTGAAGCCAAGACCCCTGCTGATTTTTGTGATGATGTGTATGTTTTTCAGAGGTTTTCAGGAACTCTTGCCTGTGGGTGCCACTGTCCTTACTGTTGCATGCTTATCCTCCTTCCCCAGAGTCAGGCTTAGTTTTAAAGCCTTGAAGAGAAATAATGAATGCTTTGAGTACAAATTGTGTCTAGAACATGTACGTTAGTCATGATTTGTACTCACAGGTCTTTCAGGTAGTGTTCATTCTTTTTTATTTTTTAAAATAGGACTTTATTCTCTCTACCCTAGAATAAGGCCCTATGAGACCAAGGTAAAGGTGTGGTTCTGTAAAAACAGAGACTGTAACAATGTCTCTCTGGCCCACAGTCCCAAGATGATGATCTGTTCCATAGTTTTCAGTACATATTAAAAATGCTCCGGTGACATACTTGAATTTTGACTGTTGTTTCCTGAATTGCTCTTCAGATAGAGAGAAAAGGGAATGTGGGAAGGATTTGTGTAATAGCAGGGAGGTAGGGTGATGCAGAAGAAGAAGGATTAATTTTCTGCAGTGTTGATTCTGTGTCCTCTCAATCCTTGCAGTTACCTGCTTATCTAGTATTTCCAGTGCCTTTTTATGGGTCATGTAGGTCCTTTTCATACATGCACATGGTGAAGTCCAGGCTGACATTCCTGACATTGCTGAATGCAAAACTGGAGTACCAAGAGTAGTCAGTCTTCAAATTTGCTTTGAACAACTCTTGAGAGGCATCATACATGGTGCACAAAGCAGTGAAAATCGACTTACCTATTAGTGGGACAGAGTCAGAGGTTGCAGGCATGATCTCAGCCACAAGCAGCATGAATACAGTCAAGGAAAGAAGGACAGTGATACCTGGAGGGAGTGAACATATTTGGGAAGAGTGAGGAAAATGAACTCTGCAGCTGCTCCTCTGATGTCTTTGCTGTTAAATATAGCTTTGTCCTGATATATGGCTAGGCCAAACCCATGATTTCATGTATGTCAGTGAAGATTAGAGCTTCCACAAAGTGCAAGCGTTTTTAGATGCAACTCTATCTGCTCTATTTTCACTTCTCTCTAATACACACAAACCCTTGCTTCTCTCAAAGTAATGGAAAAATCTTTTTTGCTGTGTGAAACGAAGCTTGCAAAACTGGTTAACTATAGCGCTTTTCCAAAACATTGCACAAAGCTCAAATGGTTGTTAAGGGAGAGACTTACACAGACAGCAGCCTAGGTTTTGCTATCACATATTATATAACACCCCTCAAAAACATGTAGTCTGTTATAAAAGAAGCTCTTTGCTCTATCTGGAAAGGCTGTTGCTAAACCTATCCATCCTGGTACTGAGAAATCATTAGCTCCTATTTTTGTGTCAACATAGTACTTCAGCTCAAAAAATTATTTTCCTTATGTGCATCCTATATTTCATAGACAGTAATTGTACCCCTGATAGCCTGTGTTTTACTTCTTGTAAAGCAGGCTGCTCAGATACCTTTTATTTTTTAACCAAAAAAAACCCACTGAAGACACTTCATCAACTTAGAAGTCTCTTTCCTGAGACAGAATCATGGACAATTAACTTGTAAGATCTCATCTGAGCCAGTCTGATGTATTTACAGCTGTCCCCTATCTTCTCTTGGAAGAGCCCTTCCCATTTTTATCAACACACACAATAGCAAATCTCATTTAGCTCTTCCATGGCTGTATTCATAGGGGACTCATGGCAAGGTGTTTCGGGAGCTGAACTTTGAAGGTGAAAATCTGGTGCCCAGCTGCTGCTGTCCACAGCCCTTCACTCTTTGTTTCCTAGTATGTTCCATAATGTATGTTCAGTATGCTCTGAAAAAGACAGTCACAGTGAGCTGTGAAATGCATTGAGATGTACTAAAGAACATAACAGGCATGACAGACTACTATCACTACTGCCTGTGCCAGCAACAAGTTCAGCTTTCCCCCAGTCCAAGAGTTGTTATATGTGTAGCACAGGATGTGTGAATGCCATACAGAAAGCTATTACGCTTGTTCCTGCAACGAGAAAAGTACTTCTATTGCTCTTCTAGTGAAACTTTTATTCATCAAGCACTATAGCACCATGAAGTATTTATTTTCCTATTTTATGGGATGTTTACGAAATAAATGAGTATTTCAGCACTTACCTAAAGAAATCTTCTCCCCAGAATCAGCTGGCAAAAGGAATACAAGCAGTGCTAAGCCAGATATGAGAACACAGGGAATGAGTAAGTTCAAGCCATAATAGAGGGTGCGTCGACGCATGGTGATGGTGTACGTCACATCTGGGTATGGTTCTTTGCAGCATTCATAATACATCTCATTCCTCTTCCCTGGGACACCTACAGAGAGGGTGATCACAGCAGTGGGGAGAGGTGCAGGACTCCCAGTTACCTCCCTGGACTGGACCAAGATGTGATGGTTTATGAGCCAATGTGTGTTACCTCTGCTGTTCTTAATCCACCTTCTGGATTAAGAGCCACATTGTGGCTTTCTAGGGTTTACTTTTGTGCCTTCTGAGCCACTTGAACCTACCTTAGCTTATCTAAAGCTCATCATACTAAAGCTCATCTGGGCCAGAACAAAACCTCAGCAAGAAAGATGCGCATTCTGCACATTCCTACATTCTGTGAATGGTCATACTATTGATGTGATATTCACTAGCACATGCAGCAGATTATCTGTGTGACGAGTATCACTGCTTCTTACTTTTCTGTGATCCTCTATCTGCTCTTTTTTTTATCAGGAAAAACAGACAGGGTATGGCTTACTTTTCAAAAAGGATGCCAAGTAAAGCTCAAAATCTGTCATATCTGAAGGTTAAGAGACATAACTGTCCAATAGGGATGTACTGCAGGGCTGCCCATGGTGATCCTGCTGCAGCAAATTGCCTGACATGCTGTGTGATGGGGACTGCAAGAGCACTGGAAATGTCAGGAGAGCTGGAAGAACTCAGTACCTTGTATACTCCATGCCAAAATTGCTCACTTCTCTTTTGTTTCTCTGGACATGACAGATGATGTGACAAAGTGTGCATTTTGGCAGAGGCTTAGCAAAGTTTTCTTAAAAGATACAGCCATGGCTTGCCTGAGGTGCTACTTAATGTTTTTGCTGTATGAGCTAAATAAGTCCCTGTTTTCTACTCCCCTGGTCAGGGTGGAAGGCAGATAAACCACAAAATCTTAATAAAATATGCAAAATGATTGGACAAAAATACCCACTGTAAAGGAGCACTGGACAGGGAGAATTGCTCTGAAATAGCCAGACTTTAGGAGAACTTCTCTATGGAGTCTTTTGCCTTCTCATTAAACTGAATATAATTTCTCAGATGGCCTGAATGGTAAAAATATTGCATGCAGTTGGTCAGGAAAATAAGTTGGATTTATTTCCTTGTCTGTGTATCCAGACTGGAAGATAAAATGTCTTTTTTATAACCTCTCATTGCAGTTGTCTAAGTTCCATCAATTTCTGTAACATTGCTTGTGACTTACAGCTACATAAATGAGTTCAAATTAACTCACTAGAAGCTCACTCTGATTAACTAGTTCTGGGCAGAAGTTCTTTTGAAAACACAGGTATCTTCCAAAGCATAGAAGAGAGGCATACTGATCTGTGGATTCTGTAAACTGGTAGTCACTTTGATGCTTTTCTGGCTGAGAAAGATCCATTTATGTAAAAGTTTTGCTGAGATACTTTTTGCACCAATCAGTTTTGCTGATGAATTAGAGTAAATGTGAGAGTAGTGTTCCATGCACCTACATGAGACACATCCAAGTTTAGTACTGACAAACTGCTCAGATGTGTCAGGACTAGTAGCTTTCATTTATGTACTCACTGTCAAGCAATTGCTTCAGAGCACAGTGTTTTCAGACACAGTTCAATGAACGTTGCTGAAAGGCTGTCTCTGATATGTGATTTTTTTTCCCCTCTATTTTTTGCTTCTTCTTAGATCTATATTTTTAATACCTGTATTCTACGTCCAATTGATTGATTATTTCTATATTTTTGAGGTTTGCTCTTGAAAATTAGACTATTGAAAATTCAAAGGTTGGCTAACTTACCCACTAAATCCCATTCTCCATTTGAGATGTAGTTGGAAATATCAGCCTCGAGCATCTGCAGGTCAATCAACCAGCCACTGTGAGTCCAGGAGCCAAACTTCAAATCACACTTCTGCACATCAAAGGGGAACCAGCGGACATCAATGTAACACGTGCTTTTCAAAATGCCTGTAGATAGAGCATAGTCATAGTCATGATCAAGCATGTGCAGGGTGCATTCCATCTTACCCTTATCTGTCTCTCATTGTGAGCAAGTTTCCTCTTCAAAAATTCTGTGTGATACAACACAATCAAACAAGTACTGCAGGTGGAAGGTGCTGCCACAAGTGGAATAACCTTCCTTCCTCCACAGTGAAGATCTCTCTCACTGCATCCTTGAGGTAGGGACATCCTTGCTGGGACATTGTGGCCACCCAGGAGCAGCCCAGCCTGTCTAGCCCTAGCAGATTACAGGCAGTGTTGCTTGGTCTGACAGGCAAGAGTACACCAGGGAATCATCAAGACAAGTGAAAAAAGACTGGGGCCCAACTGGCTGAGACTAATACCAGTTTGTATTTACACCTCTATTTTTAGCTTTAGCCTAGCAAGAAGTTTTTCAATGCTGAGTGAGAGCTGCTCATGGGTCTCATTTGCTCACACCCCTCTCCTCACAACAGAGACCTAGCTGGACTGCACATGAAACATGATGACATGGTGCACACCACCTTACTTCGGATGACACTTCAGGTGGGCCTCTGGATGTTCTGAGCAAACCGCTCAGCAGAGCATTTTACTGATTTATAAAGTGTAAATAGCATTGATAATGGACTTAAATTTTCTTAGTGGATCTGTTTTTCCATTATTATCCATCTGTTTATCCCATTATGAAATGGGCAGCAAAATTTCCACAGATGGCTTTTAAACACCTTGGTTTCATTCATTAAGAAAACCTACTTGAAATTATTTGATTAAAAGTAAACAAATACCCTTTTTGCCCTACCTGGAGGAATATATTGGCAGGATCCAGAGTAGTTCACCAGAACATTTGTGTGAAATGTTGCATCAAATCTTTCATCTGCACTGTAATACAATATAAACAAAACAGAAAACAAAACAAAGAAAAAGCAAGCTGATGTGTGAGTTAAGATATAGCTGTCAACATAAAAATAAACTTTTGGCTGAATTAAGTTCCTACATCTGAGTGAAGTGTATACCCTTGACTAATATCTCAGTTCCTTGTAGTTACAGTCAGCCTGCACCTGGGTAGGCTGCTTGCATGAGGCAATGTCCTTAAAGAAGTGAGAGGCAGAGTGTTGCAGTCTTAGAATAAAGGCAGAAGGAAAAGAAGCAAAAGTGTCACATTAGCTGTATCCAAAAACGGCCAGTCAGGACAGTGGGGCTTTTCTAGGGCACCTGTCAAAATGAGGCAGCTCACCACATAAATAGAGTTAGCTGTTACCTTACCCAGATATCTTGTAACAGCAGTGGTGCCCTGACATAACAATTGTGCAGTCTCCTGAGATGCAGAGAGGACAAGAGTTTGCTTCTAGCATTGGAAGAAACCACTGAAGAGAGCTTCTTTAACAGGCTTGTAGAAGGAGATTCATTGAAACTCCAAGAGCAAAAGGGACAAAGAAAAGAGAATTTCTTTATTCCAACAAGTTGGAGAAAATTAAAGGAGTAATGAGCCAGACACGGACCTGATTCTTAAAGGAGCAGGTCTGCAGACATGTTCCAGAGGGTCTCTTGGGAAGAGATTAACCACAGAGGGCTCCCCTGGCATGTAGATCCTTGCCTGTAGTGGCTCTGTGAAGGTCTATGTTGCATGACTACACCATCCTACATCCCCTTTCTTTCAACAAGATTTTAAAAATTCAGAATATCCATTACTCTTCTGATCTGGTCTTTATCCATGTCTTGAGTCCTCAGTCCTCAGTATTGTCCCCAGCACAAAACAAAAGGGATGATACTGAAAAGCCTAAGTCCAGAATGAGTGATAATTATCAAAGATATAAAAGACAACAAAAAGGGGTTTTATAAATACCAGGGGACAAGGAAAAGACAAAGGATCAGATTGATCCATCACTTGCTGTGGAAGGGAAAAAAACAACAGGGTGCAGAGATCTGTAGTATCCTGCACCCTGTGCACCTCCTCTTTGCAACTCATTCTCACACAGTGGCAGGAGTCCATGGCAGAGCAGGGGACAAACAGGTTAAGGAAATGTAGATAAGACAGATTCTACTCAGCAGAGCTGATGAAATTTACTCTTGAGAACTAAAAGGACTGGCCGAAATACCCTCTGAAGCATTAACAATTATCTGTGAGAGCTTGTAGAGAAGAGGGAAGGGCATGGTGAATTAGGGGTGATCAAAGAGAATTCTGACTTCATTTAAAGGTGAAATTATAGACCCATCAGCCTATCTTCAAAGAAAACGGGGTGAAACCTCTGGCACAGATTTGTGAAGGGCCAACTGCATTAAATCAATCTATTTTTCTTACTAAGAGGAGGCTGGTGATCTAACTGAATTTCAGCATGTTCCTACAAACTACTAAGTAATATGGACCAAGCTGTATGCCTCCTTTTCAGACACTGAAAAGGAAGAGACAGTAAGCAGCAAAGCTGAAGCAAAGAACACTTAAACAATCTAGGTCTCTCCAGGCCTCCTCTGGATATCTTGTGGTTAGGGTTTGGAAGATAGATCATGGGGAACTCTGGAAAATAACAAAATGAAATTTAATCTGGGTAATTAGAAAGTATTACCCTGAAAATTATCAAAGACATAATAGGGAAAATCTAGTAAGACAGCAGAGCAAAACAATATCTGGGGTTTGAAATAGATAAAAAAAAAAAGTTCAGAATTAAGATATTACTAGAGAAAACCCCAAATCCCCTCCTCCTGGAAAGCATTAAGGAAACAGCTGTCTAGAGTGTTTCCACTTCATTCAACACCGCAGAAATGCTGTCTAGAGAGCTAGATTAATCTCTGGAGAAGGAAAACAGATTAGAGAATTTTCAGAGTAGAAGAAAAATGATGAAGAAGTTTAAAAAATATGTGATAATGAAAGTGAGATGAAAATCTGTTTACTTCGATCAGAAACGCTATGACAGATATAGCACAATAGTTCTCCTGCAGATACAGAAATTTTGAAGAGATTATAGATGGTTTTCTCTCTGTGTTCACTGAGAAAAAGTTAAAGAAGTCATCTGCAGAACTGCAGCAAGGAAGAGTTAGACTGGCTATTAGAAAAATCTGTTAGCTGATACTTGCTTGTTTTTGTTAGTCTTTCAGGGTGAGAGTCAAATCCATAAAGGACATAGTATCAGTGCCCATAGTATCAGTGAAGCATGGCTGATTTTCAGCACTTAGTTCTAGTCTCCTACTGGCCATTTCACATCTTGCTTACCTGTTATACAGAAGAATGTCTGGTACCCAAATCTGGTCGGCAGGAAATCTCAAGTTCTGCACTCCTGGGTATTCATATTGATCCCAAGATAAGTAAGCATCAACCCAGGACTGTTGGCAAACACATACATCAGATTATTTGAGCTTGTAAAAGTCTTCTAAATTCTCTGGAATATTATGGGAACAGAATAGATTTTGCCAATAGCGATAGCAGCAGTATGATAATAGTTTAATGCTTGGCTTTAATTATTAAGAAAGGCTGGCATATATAGAGGAAATAACAGTGTGACTAGTGAAGACAGTGTCTAGCTCTTCATCTTGTGGCCTGAAGTCAGGCATCCCAAACCTTTCCTGGTGGGCTGGCAGAACCACTGGCAGTAGGCACTTCCATGAGGTCTGCTGTTTCTGAAGTGAAGTGGGTTTTGAGATGGTTAGTGGTAAGTGGACCATGGTCTGAAAGTCCCCGTTGGGTGGAAATAATTTAATTTATTACAAAGGTTGGGTGACTCTTTTACTAACCACCTTGCTATGAGAGGTAGGCAAGTGAACTTTATATGCCAAGGGGTTGTTTCTGATCCCATCTCCTCCACCTCAACACAGTGAATTCAAGAAAGGTGCAGGAACAGCTTTTGGGAAGAACCTTCTGACTTACAATGAAGCTCGGTGGGAGGCTTGCAAGGGAACCCCATATCAATGTTATACCTGTAGAACATCTCCACAAGGGACAGGACACCCACAGGCTCTAACCTAACAATCCTATAGTCATACAGGTTTGTCTGGGTTAGTTTTTTGCCATATGAAAACACTCATTTCTGCTGCAAATCCCAGCAGGTACTTCCTGTGGGTACAGGTATCCAGTGAGGAAGAAACAGCCTGCACAGTTGAACATATTAATGTGAGATAGTGTTTGGCTGTGAAAATCAAAACAGAATTACTTTAATCATTCAAGGCTCCCACTGTTTTTTCCTTCAAGGACTGCTTCTTTCCTGTAAGGAGATCTGTTTATACAGCATAAGAAAACACTATATCCCTCACCATAGGCAGCCAGGCAGACCTGACGGGAAACTCCCTCCTGCAAAGGAGGTCCCTTCCCTTAGTGAACGTCAGTTTTGCTTATTCTGCATGAGCGGTGCAGGTGAATCCTCGGCTGGAGCAGGCTGTGGAAGAGGGAGGAGTAATTTTTATGGAAGAGGTTTATAAAGCACAAGGGAAGGCAATGTTCCAGAGAGATGCCTTGGTGCTGCCAGAAACAATGCAGCATGGGGCCCTCTGTGGTCCCCAAACTACCCAATACCCCTTATGAGTAGTCTGCATGTGATCCAGTGACCATTTCTATGTTCAGGGACAGGTGCCCTGGCTCCCAGTTTCAGACAGAGGTGGGATTTTCTCAGAAGGAGCAAGTGCAAGTTGCTTGTGTATCACTGCGTGTCTGGCTCGTAAATCCCCATTGCTGGTTATGGAGAGGGCCTTGAGCCCCTTGAAGAATCTCTTCGTAGCTATGACGGGACCCTAACTCTGGGGTCTTTGTTTCTAGATACCTACATACAGTGGCAAAACAATGTGGTTGGTTTCATGCTCCAAAGGTCAACAGGCTTGTCCAAAGGATTAGTGTAGTCTCCTGAATTTAATTTTAAATTCTAGAAGGAGCCCTAGGGAAATTTTTAAGGACTAAAAATGTGTGCTTTTATTGCATTATACACAAGCTGTAAGACAGCAGTATTGCTTTTCAGCTAAGAAATCACATTCAGAAGTTTTCAATTAGACAGTTTCTTTACTGACAGAGGTTACTCACCATCTGCAGCCAAGCATTGGTGATCAACACCTGATTCTTCTCATCCTTTGAACAAAAGTGGGAAGGAAAGAAAAGACAGGAGAAAAAGGGATGAAACCGCTTGATTAGAGGTGGAAGAATTTCTCTGTCTTTGAAAGAATACAGACTCTTGCGGTATATAAACCAAAACCCATGGAGTAAATTGCAAGCTCACTGGAACACCACTATTTGGCCCAGACAATAGTGACTCTTTTTCTTATCCTTTAAACCTACAGACTCCCTGTGTTTATCATAACTGATCAACAATAGAAAGGAAAGAAATAGATGATTACTCTTATTTTTCTGGGGACAAACTCCTTACCAGGTTTTATCTTCTTGTCACTTGTTCAAAACAAGATGTTTTCCAGTACCACACTGCGTGTCATAGTTGGAGAGATTTTATATTGTATTTGATGCCACTGCAAAGCAATGGTGAAATAATACTGAAAGAGCTATTCTTCTTCATATTGTGCTATGTAACTTAGTTCTGGCTAAAGGAAACAAACAGCTGGTCTTGGGTAGAAGCTGTCACTTGGCAAAAAGGACACAAATGCTGTGTGAGAGGGAGCTCACACAACATGTGCACAGAGCAGGAGTCTGCAGGTTCATTTGTGCATACAGAGGCCATGGGGAAGAATCTCTTATAACAGAAGCAAAGATGGTCTCACCACCCAGCTGGTGCCCAAGTTCTTTGGGTGTCACAAGGTTTTGTTTTCTGCAGTTACCCTGCAGGTGCAGGACTCTGCAATGTGGAGATGGAGCAGCAGGGCTGCAGTCACTGTGAAGCAGATACACCGGTGCCCAAACATCACCATATCCACACGCTGCACTTCTCAAGAGCTGAGGCTCAAGGGGACAGGCTCACTGTATGCCCAGATGTCACTGTGTGTATGTCCATGCCCTAAGAAGCTTACATGGTTTTCTGCAGTGTTTGGGGTGGGAGACATTGCAATTGCAAGCTGCTTGGCAGGCATTTAAACTGAACACAGAGTTCCCTGGACATGCATGCCCTCTCTGGTCATGTCCTTACTGCAGTACTTACTCTCTAACAAGGTAGAAAAACCTAAACTGTCTTACTCACTTTGGAAAAATACCAGTCCACTCACCTCAAGCTACATTCCTTCTGCCTTTCCTCCCCTCCTGACCTACCTCCACAGCACATATGCAAAGAAACTACCCCAGAAGTGTCAGGTAAGAGCTGCTCAGAACCAAACTGCAACATCTCACACCAAGCTGCAATCCTAGGTTTGTGTGGTCATCTGTGAGTCCTCTGGAGTTACTTTTGTGTCCCATGCAGGAAGTGCAGATTCCTAGGCTAAGGCATGAAGGAGAACTTCCCAGAGAAGTCTCCTGATTACTGATTCCCCAGCACACCAGACACTGGACTGAACCCTTGGTACTGCTGAACCCTTAGCATGAATCTTGTTTGTAGCATGATGTCTTTTTACATTTGGGTTGTTGGAGCTGCAGAAATACCACAGCCTAAAAAAGGAGACATCATGGACTTGGAGGATTCCTGATGTTTTTGGCCCTGTGGCCAGAGCTAGGCTCTTCAGCCAAGCTCCTGTCCCCAGGAAAGGTAAATTTCAGACAAGAAACAGGTCTTTGCCATAGTAATCACACAAATTTGTCTATCACACTACCTCCTCTTGAGTCCCCTTACTGCTTCTGCTGCTGTGAGATGCCACACAAAAATCAGATGTGATTTTATATTGTTATACTGTTCATACATTTCACTTTTTCCTCTCTGCCGCTCCAGCAGACACAAGCCTCTCTCTATGCAAACCACAACCCACCTCCAGAGGCCTAGTCCTTCTGCACCCCCCTTTTGTTCCCTTGGTTGCTGTAGTTGAAGCAATTGTAAGAAAATCTGCAGAAAAATAAGAGAAGGACTGGGCTTGTTGAGACAAGTTTTTTAGATGCTGAAGGATTCAAACACCGTCTTGAGAAATAAAATCCTGAAGTAAAGCAAACCCCAGAGTTGGTAATTGATGGAGACATCAGAGCTATCTGTGTCCACTGACCTGGGAAATAAAAGCAACCCAGAAACACAGAGGTTGTGTCTCAGGGATCCTCAGAAGCCAGCCATCAGCCTATCTCATGCATTCCTGGCCACCAGTGACTCCTGAAGTGTCCTGTAGGGCTGGCAAGCATGATGGTGATCTGAATTGCACATCAAGTACTAGCAATATTTTGTGTTGTTAGCCAAATAATGCTTTATACTTGTAAGCTGCACATGCCCTCCTAACAAAGACTTTCTGTGTACTGTTAAAGGAGCTTGAACACCATGATTAAAAACATGGTCAGCAACAGTCAGCCAATGCCTTTGCTGTACAAAACTAAGGATTTTCTCCATCTACACTGAAACCTACAGGGAAGGGGAAGAGAGGACATCTCTCATTTTCATTTCTCCTTTTCTTATCTACCTATGTAAACCACATGAAAGTCAAATGTACATCTGTGAGGTTGGGGGTTTCCAACATGTGCAAATGCCTTCCACCAGGAGCCTTTCATATGTGGCTCTGATTTACAAAGAAACTAATTTTTTTTCCTGGCACAGTACATTTATACTTGACAGCTTGCAAAGGAGGATATCATGGGCTTTCTTTTGTATTTCACAAAACAGTTTGTTTTCCTTACCTGTTTATCTGTGTGTCAGATACTAATGACCTGGCTAATTAGCTTTCACACCAAACAATTCTTCAGCCAGGTATTTCAAGTAGCACTACATTTATTGTCTTGGACCAGGACAGTCTGCTTTGCCTGCTTTTCACAGGGCTACTGTGCTTAGGTATGTTTTATAGTCAAAGGAAAACGTTTTGAGTTCTCAAATGCTTATCTAGAGAGTAACAGTGGCCCTCCTTATCTTGTGTTTAGATAGCAGCAAAACCGCCAAGGTCTACCTAGGGCTTTGGGCTGCTTATGTCTCTCTGAGCTTGGGTGAAAAAAAATGTCACTTCAGGATGTTTGCTTGGACATTCAGAGACTATTCTCATCCTTACCTTCAGGCTACTGAGCTCCTAAATGGCATCTGACATTTTGGCAAAATACAGAAAATGCTTCCATATACAACACTAGTCAACAGAATTAGCCTGATGGGTCCTTCTTATTGCATGGAACAAAATCTTTTTCAGACAAGGATCTGCGTTTTCCAGAAGTGCCAGAAGGTATTTTTCAGAAGGTGCAGAAGCAGTGAAGCTGACTTTACACTGGGCAGGCATTTGTCCAGGTGTAGCTCTCCTGCTAAGTCCTTTCTAGAGAAGGACCCTGAAGAACCAAGGAAAAAGTGCCTTCTGGGTCTGCTGAAGAGATGAGGGCCATGGGAACCTTGAATCCACCTCCTGTTAGAGTGAGAGGCATTTCAGAGCTGAGGTGTTATGGAGCTTTCTATCTTTGTGGTGGTCTACTGAGCCACATAGCTTTGCATTCTGTAAGGGAATTCTTTGCAATGGGCTGGTTGTCTTGCCTTTCCAGAGCTACAGAAGAATTACAGCTCCTGCCATCTTCATCATGGCCTGTGTGCTGTATGCACCTCTAAAATACCTTGGCACAGAAGGGACTGTATTTTTCTATTACTCACAAACAAATAACCTGGAGAACATGTGTGCTTTACTTTATCTCAGGAGATCACTGGTCACCTAGGTTTGCCTAAGGAGCAGCTAATTATTAAGCTTGGGAAGTTCTGGAGGCAGTTCCCTCATTCTGTGTCACTGGTTTATGCAGAGGGGTTTAAAGGTTAGTTGAGAGGATGCCTTTCCTCCCAGGAGAAAATCTGAATAATTTATCACACTGCATTTTCTGTGCAAGATCCCTGTCTTGGCACTGTCAGCCTTGGGGATGACCTCCCCTCTGCATTGGGCTGGCTCTCAGCTCCCATCTTTCGTGCAGCAAAGCACTGAAAGAAGCTCTGCAAAGATTCTGAGCGAGGCTGAAAATGATCAGCTCCTAGAGGTGTTTTTCCATTACTTCCCTGGCAGTTCTGCTGGTTTGCAAATGTTCAGCTCAGGCAAATAATTTTGCTCCTGGTATTTAAAAATGCTGGAAAAGCTGTGGTCACTAGTGAGTGCAACACTTGTTCTCTAAATCCTTCCCGTATTTATCTGGGTCATTTTCTCCCCTTTCTATCTGTAGCCTGACTCCAGTTAATCCTCTGCCCTGGATATCTGCTTATTCCTACAGCCACCTTTGACCCATGGAAAGTGACAGTGGTTTGTTCTGGTGCACATGCTGTGACATGTGAATGTTTTAGTTTGGTTTTCTTTTCCCTGCCCTAATTTCAAAGCTTACAATTTACATACATCTGCCTGTATTGTGCATCACTGCCTGTCAAAAGATATTCCCTCACCAAGTCAGCATTTAAATAAAATATAAGTGCTCTTAGCCACATAATTACCTAGGTCATAGCACCTGGACAAAAAAAATCCCAAAGCCCTTCCTGGTTCAGTAATCACATCATATGATTACCTGCCATCTCTGTAGCAAGGCATTTGTTACCAGGTGGCCAGAAGGAGTTGTTAATTCTTGGCCTCTCATAGAGCCACAGAAGTGGGAGCTGAATCAGCCACTGAATTATTTCAAGACAATGATCAGAAAAGTTCCTAAATGAACAAGTAACTCGCAGTGGTCAGGTGTGACTACTTTGGTACTGCTTCAGGTAATTACTTCAGGTAATTTTAATTTTTTTTTCCCACTGTACTTTTTGTACCTGAAGATCTGAAGATGTGGAGGGAAGCAGTCGAATGACATGAAAACATTGACGTGGAGACTTCAGAAGTTTTGTTAGCAGAGACATTGATCTTTGAGTGGGATCTTATACAAAATATTCAAAGGAATTGATCAAGCATTCAAATGCTGTGCAGTCTACAACTGCACAGACACTCCTGTCCACTGCTGAACCACCAAACTGCCCACAATCTTCCACTGATCATCTAAAACTCAGCTCAAATGCATTGACTTGTTGAAGGCTCACAGAACCAGTAACCTTGAGGGGTGCCCAGGTTGCTCTGGCAACATTCAAGTAAGTACTG